GGATGGTGGTTTGATCTATGAGGTCTTTCTGTGCCGTAGCCCAGAGAAGATTTGTGGCACCATCAAGAACAAGTAGAATGATATACTTGTTCTTGTGAAGTTCAACCTCACAATGATCAGCAAAAACAACATCACCAAAAACATGAAGCTCTAATTCCGGAGACTCTGGCTCGTGGCGGAGGTGCCACTGAAGTGTTACAAACACGGCAGTTCCTGACAACTGATTCATACTTCTCTAAAACAGAGTCAGGAAGCTTCAACATAGAAACACGTCTACGAAACTGAGTAGGACTCATATGGTAGTGCTTCACATGAAGCTTATAAAGCTCTACCTTGTCCTCCAGTCTCTGCAACATCTTCCTATATGCCGGTGTCATTGCAACTACTTCACTACCAGGTAATGGGATTGAAATCCGCCTAGGCTCAAGAGCGCCGTCACCTGGTTCAAGTGGTTCATGTTTATCACTTGATGGTCCTTTTGATGCTTTAGGAATTTCTACAAGTTCACCTTCTGGCCTCTCAGGTGGTTCTGAAGGAGTATAACCCTCAGGATCATCACCTTTTAAATCCTGTGGAGGCTCAGATGGTTTCGACTTGTGTCCTTTCCAAAATGGATCAAAACCCTTTGAAGTATACCGAAACTTCGGCGGCATGGGCTTTTCCGCGGCACTGGATGGTGCACCTTCCTTCTCTGAAGAGAAGCCTGGTTCCCTGTCCTTTGCAATGGGAAGCTTCTCTGAGGAGGAGCGCACCACTGCATCGGGATCACCAATGCCACGGTGCTCAATGCCAGCCTTCCTGATCTTTAGATCTGGAATTTTGGCATCTGGCTTGAACTTAAAAATTGTTCTGCCACGCCATTCATAGCCAATTTGTAGGTCCTTCCATTTTGCCTTGCGCCAATCATCTATCTTCTTGATCTCTTCTCCACCTTCTTTCTTCTTGATGATTGTCAGTCGCAAGTCTTCCAGCAAGTCAATGTCTACAGGACAGGACTTAGTTGCTGGGAAAAGAATCTTCCTGTAATCCTTGTGGTGACGTGTCAGTTCTCTCTTGCGAAGATCTACTTCCCAGTAGTCAACCACAGGATATGCACGCTCAGCTTCATCTTCATCACTATTGTGATCAACCGAAATATGGCCATATTCATAGTGAGTGAAGTGAGAGTAAAAGCTCTTCTCGCGCCGAGCCTGCAAACGCACGTCAGACAGATACCATGCAATATCTTGGAAGTCCAAAACAAGATGAGTACTGGCTGCAACCTTCAACTCCAAAAATTTGATACCAAGAGGCACCGATGTCAGGTAAACATGTTGAGGTGTCAGCCTGAGTTCAAAGCCTAAGTTCCTCATCTGTGGCAAGCTCATAAGCAAGGGGACTTCTCCTTCTTCAACTATGTCGAACTCTGTATTATGGATCGTCCATGCACGATCATACATGTAAATCACCAGTTTCTGAGAGCAAGAAGCCTTCTGAGAATTGGCAAAGTAAAACTTGCTCTTGGTAGACTCAAAAGAGTACCATAATCCACAGTTTGGGTGATTGTCGACATAGTTACAAAAATAATCGACTGCACGCCTTGATCCCATAGCTCTAGTGCATCCAATGTCCAGGATTGCAATAGTTGGCGGGAAGCGATTCTCAGTCAAAAATGAAATAGCCTGCATCTCCTTCACTTCTTCCTCAGCGCTCATAAGCGCAAAGCCATCAGGAGCATCTGTGAGCGTCTCCTTTGACAAAGAGTACCTCACAGGGGCACTCATGTCATCGAAGATCATCTCACCATTGTTGACCTTACAGTCAGCTTCATCTTGACATGAGGTCATCATGCCTGACAGCAAGTTCACCTCACTGTCATGGACTTCAGCTGCTGTTGTCACACAATGCGCAAAGAAACCTTGGTGGCTTCCTGATGCTTGTGAAGATCTTGAAGGTGCAGGCAAAGAACGTGGCTGTTGTTGATTTGCATAGTTTGCATCCTGTTTGCCATCTCCTTTATCTTTTCCTTTTCCTTTCTGGCCTTTTCTCTTGCCTTTTCCTTTTCCTTTGTGGGAAAACCATGCTTCTTCAAGTTGTTGCCAAAAGTCATGGGCATCTTCATGTTCTCCTTGAAGATAGTCATTCATATCTTCGGCAAGAATAGCATCATATGCTACTTGGTTTGACTCCCAAGTGTCCTCATAAGGATTCTCTTCAAAATACTCAACTGGATAAGTTGTCGATTGCTCATCAGCATAATGGCCTTTACCTCGTCTCTTTCCTTTTCCTTTTCCACGAGGTCTGAAGAATCTGCGGCCTGATCTTCCTTTACCTTTTCCTTTTCTTCTTCCTTTTCCTTTGCCTTTTCTGGCTCTTCTTCCTTGGAATCTCCTCTGGAACCAAGAGAAGTTCTGTTCATCATATACCCAAAAGACATCGTCCAGGGCATCAAGGAATCCTTCTGTTCCATCTTCTTCATCTTCGGCCCAATAGCCATATGTACCATCGAGTTCTCCTTCGTCTAGTACGAGAAATGATCTTCTACCTCCAGCACCTGTTGGCTGCATCAGAGGATTGTCTACTGAAGTCTTTGTTGTGCAGAACATCTCAATGAAGACTGTCCTCAACTCTATTGTCGTGTATTGCTGCAGGACTCTACCACGATGGGTCATCAAAGAGGTCAAAGTGTTCCTCTGGTCTTGAGACAAATCCGCAAGTGACAGCATGAGTAAGGCAATGAGATTCTCTCCTACAGGAAAATCATTCTGATGAAGAATTCTCAGATTGCCATTGACATTCTGCATGATTTCCTGTACTCTTTCCGCTTGGAGCCACTCCATTCATCGCTGCATCTGCTTGCATCTGAGCTTGTACCTGAGGATGTACTTGTGTCACTGGATCCAACATGTCCATCCAACTGCTCATAAGCCTTTGGAGTAGGATCTGAAATCTTGTCATCCATTTCATCATATCAGCTGATTCGCGATTGAAGCGCACGAATTGCATAAACCTATACAGGAATACATTGGTTGATCCTTTCACAAAATATGGACGTAGTACTCGTTTGAAGTATTCTACTCCTGCTCCTGGTGGATCATTCGCCTTCAATGCATCTCTGTCTAATACTCGCTTGTATACAGCTGCTTCTCCTTCTAGTCGGTTTCTCAATGCTGGTCCTCTCTTCTCATCCTCCAGCTCGGTGATATCGCACCAATCGTCTATGGCATCCTCATAGGAAAACCATGAAGTCTTTCCATCATAAGATGGGGGCACCTTTGTAGTGACCTGTGTTGTCATTGCTATCGCTGCTGGTTCTCTTCTCACATGCCTATTCACGTAGGCTGCTGGCTCATAAGCCACATCCGCATCAGGCTCTTCCCAGTCGTCAATCCAATCCATGGCCGGTTGCCCACAAGCAGTTCTATGCCTAGGAAAGGAGCTCACCTGGGTCTTCCAGGATCACTGCTCCGCTACCACTGAAAGAGTGACTAGGGCGTACGCGGTTGAGGTGCAGACCGCTAGTGTCTTTTATGCGCAGAGTCTTATCCTCTTAGCGTCTTGAGCCTTGTGGCAGTCAAGCATGGACACACTAGATAGGCCACTGGAGTGGAACCTGTACAAGTAGGCCTCTACATTTCAGGGTGGGTTCATTCTTCAATAGTACCCCCCCCATCGAAAGAATAACAAAACACCCCTCCTATAGTTGTAACAATAGCACCCCCCCAATTATAACGACAAACCGGATCCTTCTTTAAGGCTGTTGTAGCACAGGATCCTTCTTTAAGGCCGTCGTAGCACGGGATCCTTCTTTAATGAACTGGAAGAGATCGACTCTCAGTGACATAGGCCATATGTCGACTTTTCGAGCCACTACCACGTCGAGAGCGGTAAAGGCCAGGTGCCCGAACACCATCTAGCGAACGACCTTCCAGGTTGGTCAACCTGCAAAGTATCCATCTTTTGACCCACAGTCTACACAGTAGCCCATGGGCCCACATCTTCCGGGGGTGGGCGTTCTCCTTGACCAGGCCTTAAAGAAGGACGCTGTGCCACGAGGGCCTTAAAGAAGGATCCTGCGCTAAGAGGGCCTTAAAGAAGGATCCTGTGCGACGACGGCCGTAATGAAGGATCCTGCGCTACGATCGCGATGGCCTTCGACTCGCGTCCGAGCGTGCGCGGCCCGCGTCTGTTCACAAAAGCTGAGTCTCGGCGTTCCATCGGCCGGGGGGGCCCCCCCCCGCTTTTTAAGTTTGCTCGCTCGCACTCGTGTTCGTGTAGGAGTGTACCCCTCGTTCGACTACAACCCGACGCAGTGCTCTCACGGACCACTCTCCATCACCATTGTGGAGAGAACATCACCGATATATCGACACCCCAACACTTGGACGGTCCGAGCCTTTTTCACCATTCTCGGCTGGTGTGATCTCCACGGCTATTAGCGACACGCTGTTTGTATATACACAAACGTTGTGGCTGTCGATGGCTGTTTGATCTCTTCCAGACAATTCTCCTTCTTTATGGCCTGTAAGAAGGATTCGACGAGGGGGTTTAAGGCCATCGTAGCACAGGATCCTTCTTTACGGCCGTCGTAGC